AACTATAGTTTGTCAACATCCTCATGCCTAACCCTGTGGGAGGCAACCCACGCTTAATGGAGCCATCTTTACTGGCAAAACCATTGGTAGCAGTCAGGCAGATTTTGAGACTTTTTGGTGTAATTAGTACCACTGAGGTTCGTAAATCAGAACTCTTTCCTAGTTCTTTGGAATGAACAGTCTACCACTCTTTGAAAAACAGTGAGGAGACAGGTGAGCTACGAATCGTCAGGTCCGGAATACCAGGCACTTCTGTGGTTCCACTGCAGAGCAGCCCTGACCCACCAACTGAGGTATTTTTTATCCAGCTCTTTCCCGCTCAATATCAGGGGATGAGGTCGCATTGCCTTGTACCTCCCTAACCTTGTTTTTAGTAAATTCCCTGGAATAATACTGTGCTGCCCCATACTTCTGTTGTCTTTGCCCCAATTACAGAGCCAGGCCCCCTCCCACTCCTGGGCACACCTCCTATTTTGCCCCAATTGTTTGGAACCAGCCAGGGTTTCTATGCCCCAGGTTAGGTTTGATTTTCTGACTAATGCCCCAGTCCCCCTTTCTCCCACCTTTCCCACAACTAATACCATAGAGATGTAGTTTCTAGCTCATTTCTAGAAGCTTATGCTGACAGGAACATGTTCCTAAAATTTTTTTACAAAGTTTATCTGAGAATACTGAGAATATCTTAATCGCGCTCAATGTACAAATGATGAATTATTTTAATAAACAGTTAAAGGTAACATAATCATAAAAATCTTACAGAACAGTAAGTTAAACTTGGATTATGAGTCTCTCTTTTCACAGGGAGAAGATAAAAGTTCTTGAGTCTTTAGACAATTGCTGACCAAAAATTTCAGGATTGCTGATCTGCTCCCCTCCCCCACTTCCTTCCTTCCTTTCTTTCTTTATTGTCTCTTACTTTCTGTCTTCTTATGTGTGTTACAGAGTACTTGCAGAATTCCTGCAAATGGGGTCTTGGTTAACCTATCCATATGTATCATGAGTATTTTTAATGTCAATAAGTATGCCACTTCACTATCATCTTAAATGGCTGCTTAATTGTATGTATAAATATGCCCATGATTTATTTAACTAATCTCCTAATATGGACCGTTCTGATTCTTTTCCAACTTTTTTGTTGTTCCAAGTCATGGTGGTCGATGACCTTGCTAAGATCTAAGCAACTGCTACTCAGTTATTTCCTGCTTGTTCATCCATGTATTTGCCTCCTCAAAGAAATCTTGTAACTGTGGGTTTTTCCTTTTAGAAGTACATTGCCCAGCATAGTATTCAAATAAATTTAGTAATTTTGCTATAGTAGGTAAACTTGGATTGTAAAGTCAGCCTACCTGAGTTTGAATCCCAGCTCTGCCATTTGCTTGCTGTGTGACTTTGGACAAGACATGTAATCTCTCTGCACTTCAATTTCTTCTCCTATGTATGATATGAGCATAATAATAGTGCTTATCTCATAGACTTGCTGTAATAATTAAGGAAATTGTGTGTGCAAATAACATAGAAATGTATCTAGCATTCAGTGCATGCTCAATTCATATTGGCTATGGTTAATGATAAGAAGCTTGCTTTGTCTTTTTATTCATGCTGTTAAACCTAAGTTTCCTTCTTTGGCAAGGAATATAAGGAGCAGAAAGAGGGGAGTACAGTGGTCTCAAGAGGGTAAAGCACATATTAGGAAATATGGTGAATTCTAATTATGTGGCCAGTTATCAAAATTTATAATATGATGGAGTTACAGAACTAGGCCACAGGCTATTAGAGATATCTCATTAGCAGTCAACTTGGTGGAGATATGTATAGTCACAAAACATCTAACATTCACGTACCATCAGCCAGGTTGTGTGCTCAGACACTTAGATGATCTATGTTTCTTGTCCCTGTGGGCTAGAACTGAATAGTATACTTTTATTTTTACCTTTCCCCTAGGATTCTTTTTTCTTCCTTCTTTTCTCCCAGTGAAAGTAGAGAAAAACTAGTTTTTTGTTGGCTTGGGCTTTTCCTGAAGAATAGACATTATTGTACTCACATGACCTCTTGTACTCACTTCGACTCTTTCTGTAAACAGTTCTCCACTGTCCAACAGGGTTTTGGCAGCTAGGAGACCCCTCAGTGGGAGCAGGGACTAGGTATGAACTTGGGAACTATTTCAGGAGATAGGAAAATGTGAGGAATTTGGGGTTATTCGTTCACTCTTAAGTACTAGAGGAGTACATCAAAAACATCTAAATTAAGCACTTTTCTGCATTTCAATTATTAGACCAAGTTCTTGCTTGATAAAAAAATAAATCCAACAATAAATCAAATGTATGAAGCGAAGACCAGGCAGTTTTCTTATCTCTCTGTTCTCAAGTGCTGAGAGCAAAACTGCGTGTCAGAAGGCCTGATCTTCCTTCTTGGTTACATACCAGACTCATTGAGTCCCAGAAAGAGTAAAACAATCCTATTCTTTTACTTAGGCAGAAGTTCTCACCCATTTCCTTGGGTAAGTCCCTGGTCCTCCTTGTACCCTATACTGTTACTGGGTGGGACAAGAACCTCGATGGACTAGCCAAAGCCTATCTTTGAAGGGCTCGAAGCATCTGCAAGTGGTCACTCAGCTAATCAGTGGGCTTGTATCTTACAATGCTTTCTGGTAACATAGGAGACTACTTCAGCCTTCCATCAGGGAATGTTTCCTAGAATATATACTTTATGATCAAATTCTACAGAAGTAGAATTTTCTAAACAAAAAGCAAAAAGGAAGAATTAACCATTACTTCCATCTTAACATCATCTGTTAGAAATTTTACGGACACTGGAAACCACAAAGTGCTTTTACTCCAGAGAATAGGTATATCCTAGAACTCATGGTGCTTTTCAAAATTTCAAAATTTCTGCTGAGTATCCAGGGAATATACGAGTGAATAAACATTACTATTTTTTGAAATTTTATTAAGTCGGGATTGTAGATCCAGGCCTCCTCAGGGGCTACAGAGGAATGTAACAACTGTGAATGTCACCCCAACGTCCATCATGAGAGGAACAGGTTATCTATACTATGGAATATTGTATAGCCATTAAAAGTGAAATAGCTACACTGAATATATACTGATGTGGAAGATTATCCGTGGTAAATTCTTTAGAAAAGTAATGGTGTAGAATACTCCAGAGTGTGATTTCATTTTTGTAAAAACAAGATATATAAATGAACATATATATACAGGTATGTGCCTCATTAAGAACGAGAAGAACATACTTCAACTGTTAACAGTGTATTACCAGAATTTACTCTTGGTAGAAAGAGTAAAGAGAATGGGAATGGTGTCAGGAGAGTGGGGAGAGTTTTCACTTTTTAATTTATTCACATCTTAGCTTTGCACAGTGGCACTATTGTAGCTAATGAGGTTTATCCGAGGTGTGATATTGCTAATTTATTCACATATGTATTGTTTGGAACTTTGTTCATAAACAGGTATTTTTATAATATTTTATACAAATTTTTAAAAATCTCTATCAGAAATAAGTCCTTCTGTGTATCTGGTGATTTGAAGCTCTATTGCAGAAGGAAACATAATGTCCATCAGCAAATAATGCAAATGACAAGTATACATCCACCTGAAGAAACAACTTAAAGATTACAATATAAATTGTCTCACGCTTGTAAACATTAGCTGTCACATGTCACAGATTATGGGAAAAGATAAGAATGAAATCCAAGGCTGCTCTGTGATAGAAATCATTGTATCTTGTCTGAGTGGGTTGATAGTAACAGTGGAAGGCAAATGTATACAGTTTTAAAAGATGCAAATCAATTTAAGTATGCAAATATTTTCATGATAATGATATAAAGATGTGCTGTTGCTGCAGTAGGATACCTGGCATGTTAGCTACTGATTGCCATCCTTACACGTTGCATATTAAGAGTTCCATCTCAACATAGAGGAGAATAATTTCCATGGCAACTAATCAATTAACTAATGAATATATTAATGTTTATATTGAGAACCTAATATGGGTTGGGTGGGGGGACACAAAGATGAATGAGAGCCAAGAATTGCCTCCTGATACCTGCAAAGTACTAGGGAGCTAAGGTGTGTGCACAAGACTCCAGAATGCAATGTGGGCACAGGATGCTACGAACTAAAGTAGCACTTCAGAATAGAGTGATTGGATGGTCCCTCCAAAGGGAGGTGTTTTGTTTTCTATTTTTATTTTGTTTTAAAATAGAAAAACATGAAAAACAGAGAGGAAAGAGTCAGTGTAGAGGTGATGAAGAGGTGAGGTCAGAGAAAAGATGTAACTAATCAGGTAAGCCCTAGAAGAAGCAGAGTGAGCCCCGGGGAGAGGTTGGCCTTGAGAGGAAGGAAGGATGTTATCCAAAATATATAAAAGTAGGAAAAGGGCCTGAGAGGTGAGGCAGACACACTCTGAGGGGAAGTAGAAGGAAACCAAAGGAGTCTTCTTGACTTCTCACTCTGGTGAGAGGCAACTTTATCAACAGGGAGTGAAAGAGTAGTAGTAGGCTTTGAGCTTCTAAAAAGATTTGGAATAGCCACTGTGAAGAATAAAAGTCAATCCGAAATGATTAAAAAGATAGTGGAGCACCATTAAGGTGCCTGCTGAGGCTGAGTAGCATGAGTTTTTAATTAAACTAATTTAAAAAATTATTTTTCATTACTTTCTCTAGCAATATGGCAGCCAGATACGGGGCTATAAAAATTCAGCTTGGCTGGAATAGACAGATTGTAGAAATCAAATGATTCTTATATTGAACACTGCATGTGAAAATTCATTGAAAATTAGTCAAATAATTGCATCATTACAAATTCTGCTTTGTCAATCTGTTTCTTTCCCCTCAATTTTTAAAGTCAAATCAGATAATTATATATCTGTAAAGAGATGGGAAAAATATCCTGTACTTCTAAATGTTAACCAACCAGGTAATGCCATGAGAATTTCTGAAGTTTCTAGCTCACAGTTGTTTCTCATACATTATGTATTTTTAGGCTGGAAAAGTTAATAACATCCTTTTTAGAAGACCAGGATCCAGAGAGTAGACTAGAGGTTGGCGCCGATATGCGTAAAATTCATCACTGTTTTCATCATTTAAAGGTAAATTTAAATGTTTCCTCTAGTAGAAGCCATTTTCTGCCATGTTCAATCTGTAATAAAAGCTTTTCTAGTTGGCTAACCCCTGAAAAATTAGGGCCCAGTATCACACTTTCAGAAAATGGTACGATCTTCAAACCAATGCTGTGATTATCATTGAGTTTCTTCAGCGGTCGTATCTCACGTGCCAGTAAATAAGCTCAGACCATGGACCTCTAATTCTTTTGCCAGGAATCTCTACCTTCAACACAGGATAGTTCCATATTCAAAGAACCATTTATTTCCAAGCTATATCAAGAGAATTATGACCAGTATTTTTTTAGCAGTTTTGATTTATTCATATAATACCTCAGTTTTTCTCTGCCTTGGGTTTTACCTTTTATGATGAGAGAGTGGGAATATCATTAACTTTTCTTTTTACCTCACTTCTATGTTTGCATACTTCATTAAGACAATAAACATTCATGGTGAGTTACTATGGGCCAGGCATAGATAGGACAAGGTGGAATAAGTAAGTCATGGAGAAGACAGATACGTAAAGAATAATTACAGTACATGATAAGTGCTACAATAAAAATGTGAATTAAGTGGCATGGTGTATGGAGAAAGGGAAAAGAGACCAAGAGGAGAGAGTGGTTGAGTAGGAATTTCCCAATTTAGGGAAGGAGAGATAAGATAAGGGAGAGAGGAATGAGGAAGGAGAAGGGGAAGGAAAAGGGAAAAGAAGGCAGGTAGGGGGGAGAGGACATGCCAGGTAAATAAAAGCTACTGCATTTTTAAGACAAGGAGGCAGAAAAGAGTATGCATGCCTGATGTCTGCAGGGAATTGTTAAAGGAAAAAGAATCAAAGAAACAAAGAAATTTGGAATAGAGACATAGGCACTAAACTCTTATTTCTTCTTACAGAAACTATTGAATGACAAGAAGATCCTTGGAAATTGTACAGTCTCCTCTGAAATCAAAGACCAAGACTGCCAAGAACCATTAAAAGAGGAAGAATATCAAAAGCTACGAGATATTCTAAAGCAGAGAGATAATGAGATCAGTATCCTTTCTGAAAAGATGAGAAACTTTCCCTCTACTGGCTTGAAAGGGAGTGTAGACAGGTAGATGTGTTCCCCCAGGCACATCACTGAGCTCCCCACCCTGCTTCTAATTTCATAGTGCTTCTTTCCATTGAGAAGGAAAATGTCCCTCCAGCAAACAAAATGTAGCGACCGGTGAAAAACAGAGTTTCTATAAAAGAAAAAAATTTGACTTGTATTGAGCCTGATACGGTTACTCTTGCAGAGAACATTTCAGTTTATTGAAAAGCATGGCCTTTTTTATGCCGTCTCTTAACATTAAAATTTTTAAAATATGTTTTTTTGTCTACTCTGTGGTGCTCTTTCCGTTTTAGTCCCAAGCCTGTAAGTTAGCTGGTTATCTTTAGCTAGCTGACCGGACACCGGGCTGACCACAGCCTCACCATGGCCCAGAATTTGTGGCTGGTGTGTGGGTGAAACTCAAATGATGGCTGAAAAATGACAAATGGTGTTTAGCTTAAGAAGAGCAGAGATTGATTTAAATGTAACTTTTTATTTAAAAGCCAGATCTACTGCTTTGGGTTCCACTTACAAATGTTCCCAAATTTGGAAGTGAGCGTAGATGAGTGTTCAAGACAGAATTCTTATTGGCTCCAGGACGCAGTGTATTTCGGATGCTGAGAGTGGTAGCAGCCCATGGGAGCGTGTACTGCCTCCAGTTGCAGACTAAGTGGCTACTTCTAAAGAGCCCCTGTTGGGTTGGTTAGACCTCAGGACTCCCCAGTATTTCTTCAGTATTATTTCTCACTTTATCTTTCAAGCTTCTTGTAAAAGATTTGACATTTTCATTATACTTGCAGAATTTGAACTCGCACAAGAAATCATTTCGGTCAGTTCTTTATAAGCAGATGTTTTTGTTAATTTTTAAAATTAAGACACTTTGCTTCAGCTGTTGTGAAAAATGCATAAAAATAGTCTACAGAAAGGGAGTACAATAATAAAGAAGTAGAAACACACCAAATAAGAGATAGGCACGCTGCCTAATTAACTTTAGTCTAATTTTAGTTGATTATTAGCAGAGCCTGGGTGTCAGATCCGAGTATTAGCTGCTTTGTTATCTGACCAGTAACAGTAGGCACAACCGTGAATCACACTCACACAAGCCCTTGTCTGTGAGTGCTGCCCACAAAGGTTGTCACCCTTGCATTCCTTTTCCTTCCTCTTAATCTGTTCATCTCTAGGGATGGTCTCAGCCTGGACCTCAGTCCTCGCGCCAGCCCCAGTCTGAGCTCTGCTTCTTTTCCTGGCCTTGGTCTTAGTCTAGGATCTTCTCCCCTAAATACTCCTACCAACTTCTTAATCCCTTTCTGGGCTTATGAACGTCTGTGCATTCACATGGAGGAATGAAATGAGATATGACAGAGAGAGACTTGGCTTGTCTCATATGTTTATTTTTAAAAGAGTGAAAGAGACGTGCATCATTTCCCTCCTTCACTGTGGTGACTCCAGACACTGCTGTCCATGTGGGGCTCTACTAGAGTCTCTACTGACTGAATAATTCAAACAGGGCCCCTCCTTCTGAGACTCAGATTCAAACTGATGGTGTGTAAGGGTCATAGTGGACAGAATACTGAACTTAAATTCTTACCTGCATTGAAATCCTAGCTCTTCGTTTATTAGCTTTGTAACTACTCAGTGAAGCTGTTTTCTGCTCTTCAGCAGTGGGAGCATAAAACCCACCCTTCCAAGCTCACCATGCTGAGCAAAACCAGTAAGTGCTTTGAGCACTAGAGAGTGTTCTATAATGGAAGCTAGGACTGTGTAGACAATGAGTAAACACAGAGGAAGGAAAAACAGGAATTGAGATTTAATCACCTCAAAGCCTATGCTAATAACCAAGAGAGGCTCCTGAAATTTTATAGCTACACAGAGTTAAGTTGGAGGATATTTTTATATCTTTCTTTATAGAACCCAGAAGGCTAACACCATGATAGGAAGAATGGGAAAGATACAGCTTCCCGAGAAAAAAAAAATGATTATACTTGAGCTTAACAAAAGATAGAAATGCGACTGAAATGACTGTGAACACCATTGCACCGTCTTGGAAAGGGGGTGAAAATGTGTCATTTGAGTGACATCATCAGTTTGAATAAAGTTCAGACCCCGCTTCACAAAACATATAACAGGTTATTCAATACCCGGCACAGTGCTTGGCACAAAGCCATTCCCTTAGATGGAAATGGGGAGGGGAGAAGACAGAGGAAAGGTGAGAAAAAGGACGGCAGCAAAGAAAATAGATTCGTATTGTGATCTTTATGAAATGTAAATCAGAACACGTCATTTGATTAAAATCTTTGAGGGCCTTCCCATGATACTTAGAATAAAATCCAAGCTCCTTGCTCTGGTTTTTGAGGCCCTCCATGTTCCGGCCCCTGCTCACCCCCTGGCCTCATTTCTTAGCCCTCGTCCCATGTATATGTTATGCTCAGTCACACTTACCCTCTTGTTGTTTTTCTAACACGGGGCTCCTCAGCCTTAGCACTATTGACATTGGAACTGGACAGTTCTTTGCTGCAGGGGCTGTCCTGTGCATTGTAGGACATAGGGCCACAGGATTATGGCATTAGGAACCACTGCCAGGCCCGTTTTCTTTAGGGATTTAGCCATTTCCTCTGCTTAGATGCTCTTCCTCTGGCTGGTTTCTCTTGTCATTCAGCTCTCAGCTGAAAGGTCACTCTTAGAAAGGCCTTTTTAGTGCCCAATGTAGAATAGCCACATGGTCACTCCTTTTAAAAATTAGCTACCTGGCACTGTTACTCCCTAACGTTGTCAGTGTGTGTGCATCCGTGCATGTGCGAGCCCTGCCTTTCCCCAGTAGGACATCTTCTTCATGAGAGCAGGATACTAGTCTGCTTTCTCATTGCTCTGTGCCAATGCCTAGAATAGTGCCTGGCACGCAGTACAAGCTCCAACAAACATCACTGAATGAGTGAATGAATGGATATTGCCATTACAGTCCCTGAACCAATGGACGTGTATGACGACACTGACAGTCAGTTCCATGCAAAGAGGCATGGGTGATCTGGGCAGAGCCCTGTTCTTCTCTGTCACGCTAATGCTTAGACACTAAGAAGTTGTGAACATCTTTGGTAAGTGTGTGGTTGGTCGGTTGGTTTGTTTTTGAGGCAAGAAATGGAAGCCACATAAGAGATTGTGAGAGAAAAGTTGATTATCCTTCCAGAAATCACCAAGTGGGAATTAAAGCTGAGGAGGAAGATGGAGATCAAGGGAATTCCCCATTACTTGCCCAAGAATAGGTGTAATCTGGGTACCCCCCCCCCTTTCTGGGTAGCAGTCTTCTCTCCCACACTGTCCCCATGTTTCTTGAGACTCTTATTTTAATGAAGCCATCTCTGGGGATGGTGAAGGTCTTGAATTCATCTCACTGCACATGCAATTAGAGTTCTGAGATTCACAAGAGAGATCATAGTCTTTCCTCATAGTGGGTGGAGCAAAAGTCTCTTAGTGTTCTGGGCATCTGGAGCTCCAAATGGACAGTGAAGTAGGGTAGAATAGAGTGGTTTTATCACTTATCATCAGTGCTCCTGGAATATATAAGTGGCCCGCAAAAGGTGCATTTTAAAATGATATATCTATGCTAGTAAGTCACTTCTTATCAGTTCTCGTTGAAACAAAAAATAGAGGCTTAAAAAAACAAAAGTGATTTTCAGCCCCCATTTGAATATACTCTAAATAAGCACTTGCTGGACATGGGGGTGCTCTGGCTGCACATTTGGCCACCAGGATTCAGCTGGCTGATCTGCCAGCTGGGGGGCTCCCTGTCCTCCCCCTCCTGTGGCTGCCTCCTGAGCAGATGCATGATCTTCCAGATAAAAGACGTAGTTACTAACAGATGTGCACATAGCTCCATTGCCTACTACTACTCAGTGTTCATTTTACTTGTTATAAACCGTTTCATAAAAATTTTAAACCTTAACTGGTTTAAACTCAGAACATTTCAAAGACCTTTGGGTTTTATAATTTTTCATATAATGGTGCCATATTGAAAGACTACAGCCTCCTAAATTGTCTGTAACTATAGATAGGGCTTCAGGAAGTTGAAGTCTTCCTATAGTTGTTCTTTACCATGTGATAAATAGCAATTATTGGGAATATCAATTGCATTTGGGACCTCCGTGTTTTGATTTCTATAATCTATAATGAGTCATTAAATCCTTAAGTCGAGTATCAGATATTCTGGTCAACATGTTAAAAAAGGAAAAGAAGAAAACTCAGGATGCTCTCCACTCATTCAGCATGGATAGAAGTGAATTCAGACGCTCCCAGAACTCGCCCTTCCCACCTGGGAACCCAGAGGAGGGTCAGAGAATGTTGCTGTCCTCAGCTGCCACACAAGCCAAGGACCTTAGCACTTTGGGGTGCAGATCCAGCTTCCTCCACAAAAAAACAGGTCAGTTGCCTAAATTTCCAGTATTCCTCATTGTAAGGAATTTCAGTATAGCATACTTCAGTTTCAAATATGCAAGGATGAAGGCTCTAATAATTCACTTGTTAGAATTATTTTTTATAACTACCAAATCTCTTATATATGCATTTCCCAAATTGATGACTGAACTGAGAAGAACCACGTAAGAATTTTCACAGAGTTTAGAGGCAGAAATAGATGGGTCAGGGCAACAGTAGAAAAGTTAACTTTAGAGACAGGCAGTAGAAACTTTTGTCTTATCGTCTGGTGTAAGAGGGAAATAATAAGATCAGATGTCACATTACTGATGTGATGATGCAATGTTTATTTTTAAATCCAAATGTGCTATCTGCAGCAAAATCATTTAAAAATGGCTGGGCGCGGTGGCTCACGCCTGTAATCCTAGCTCTCTGGGAGGCCGAGGCGGGCGGATTGTTTGAGCTCAGGAGTTCGAGGCCAGCCTGAGCAAGAACAAGACCCTGTCTCTACTAAAAATAGAAAGAAATTAATTGGACAACTAAAAATATATAGAAAAAAACTAGCCGGGCATGGTGGCGCGTGCCTGTAGTCCCAGCTACTCGGGAGGCTGAGGCAGGAGGATCGCTCGAGCCCAGGAGTTTGAGGTTGCTGTGAGCTAAGATGACGCCACGGCACTCTAGCCCAGGCAACAGAGTGAGACTCTGTCTCAAAAAAAAAAAAAAAAAATTATCACAGCCTTAAAGGACTGATACTAAATTACAACACTTTGTCAGATAATAGGACTTGACAGGGTCGGACCAATTCAGAGGTACCTTTCCTATTTCTAGGGTACGTTTCTCTTTCTGTTAGACCAGCAGCGTGTGATGTACAGTCATGTGACTGATGCCTTTTCCTTGAAAACATTGAGAAATCTGAAGTGTGAGATGTACTAGACTAAAGGAATAAAGAGCTTCCCTTTTTGGCAACATAAGTTGAAATTTTCTGGAGGAGGGAGGAGGGGACGGGTATTTGCATACACAAGGAGTGCAATGCGCACCACCCGAAGGATAGACATATTTGAAACACAGACTTGGGGGGGGGACCAAGGGCAACATATGTAACCTAAACATCTGTACCCCCATAATATGCTGAAATAAAAGAAAAAAAAAAAAAACATTTGTTGGGATAGACTACCTGACATGCATGGTTTTCTAAAGGATTTAGCCTGGGAATAATTAAAGAATATGGTGCTCATTAATAAGCACATTTTTTAGTTAATAAAGACAAGATGAGAAGCGTGGAAATATATTTGTGATATTATATTCCTTTATCTCTTAATTCCAAATCTCTTGCTTTGAATATTTCTTCAGCAACACTGTAGAATGCATTCAAAATCTCAGGAACCCAAAATGGCTGTTTTTACCATTTGTCATGGTGGCAATAAACAGTGAAAATTAAGGATTCCTCTCTGTGATTGTCTTCTATACACCTTTGCCATACTCTATTATAAAAATAGCTGGTTGGAAAAAAAGGAGGCCATCTGGATTGGATAAAATTCGTTAGTTTATCCATCCATTTATTCATTCGTCTTTCATTCAACATATATTTATTGAGCACACACTTTGTTGTAGGCACGGTGCCAATTATTATTATTATGTCCAAAGTTTATGTAGCCTGCAGCACTAGGTACTTTTTTAAATTCTCTGTTTGTATTAACTCATTTAATCTTAATCCTATAAGTTTTTGTTTTACTGCCATATTACAGATGAAGACATAGATGGACAAACCAAAGCCTGTGACCTCACAGTACTTACAGACTGTCAGAGAAGAGAGCCACTGAGCAATTGATTATAAAAGTATACCTCTGTATTACTGAGGGAGCACATACCAGGAACCTTGAATCCTGTTAAGACCAGAAAGATTCAAAAAGGGGAGTGAGGGTAGAACTGTGGCTGGAAGGAATATTTCAAGCAAAGAGAATCAATGGCTTGAATAGCTTTCCAGGTCTTTGTGGTAGAAAGGAGCATTTTAGGACGTGAAAAAGCCAGTTGTGGTTGAGATCTGAGGAGTGAGAGGCTGGAAAGACAGGTTGATTGACAGGTGCAAAGGGATTGGCAGAGGACTAAGACTGCATGACCAGTTAGGAGATCATCGCAGTAATCCAGGCCAAGGGACGGGGATGATGAGGGAGAGGTGGGGATCAGAAGCATTTACAAGGTCCAGTGGACAGGGATCAGTGGCTAATTGGGTGTGGGGTCAGGATGAGGATTGGTTCACAGGTCTCTGGGTGGCCCGTGAGGCCCTTCATGGAGATAAGGGACAATGAGTGCCTCCCTGGCCCCACAGTCCCCCCAGCTGGCATTGTTTGCTATAGAGAACACAGTGTTTACATCTTGCGGAAATGAAAGATCAGGATCAGTACCCACATTAGAACCCCATGGCTTGTGGTGGAGGGACCTGTTTGCTAGCCTGTTCCAAAGACACACCAGTGCAGAAGTGCCCTCAGATATCACTGCCCAGTCCTTTTCTATTTCTACTTCTTCTTGCCCACACCATCCCTCTTCTCGTAATTCTTCTTCCCCGCAGCATCTCATAATCTCTCTCCTGCCTTGTAATTATAGTCAGCTTTTTCAGTAACTCTTTTCCTCCCTTGACACTGCTACTGAGACAGACTATAGTTTTGTTTGGAGAATAAATTAAGTTTACTTGAATAGAAAATCACTGAAAAAATAATGGAAATTGTTTGTAAAGTCCAAGAACAAATGAGGTAAAAGTTTTGGAGCAGAGCCTTATATCTGAAAGGGTTTTTGAGTTGGTTTAACTGTCCTTGGGTATATTTCTAGCAATAACTTTAAATAGGGGCAGGCTCACGAGTAGATTGATAATGATCTAACCATTTGGGGGAGGGACTGATGGGGGATTGATTTTATTTTTTGGCAAGACTACAAATAGGATGGAAATTGTTGCAGGTGAATCAATGCAGCACAACAGGTAATGGGATAGTTCACTACAATATTTAAGATTCCAGGACCTGATTAGCTTTTATTATTATATTATTTTATATACAAGAAGCTTGTGTAAACTAAACCAAATACAAAACATTAAAAAGCTTGTTGTTTTGAAAATATTTCTGCCTTGTGTAGGTGCTGTCAGTTTCTATTAACCATCACTGGGGCTGTTTCTAATGCAGAAAGCAAGTAAATCTGACTGTCTCTGAGACTTTGATGAAACTGTCTCCCCCTCGTGATCCCTCTCCCCTTCTTCCACTCACCTTCACTTTATGCTGAAAGTAAGTCCCTTCAAATTAGAAAATGACACCAAATCCATGGTTCACTAGAGAGCCCTGGAGAGTCACTGTGCAAGCAGCCTGCCGACGCAAAGGAGGGTTAGGGGATTTGGGGCTTCCGTTGTTGTTTTGAAGTTTAGATGTCTGTTTTGGTTTCGTGCAAATAATGAGAGGGATTGTTCAGCTCCACAGTTTGAAAGGAGTCATATTGTTCTCTTTAAAATAGGGGGAGTTTTAAGGTTAGGTTGGTTTTTTTCCTTCTTGTTTCTGTTTTAGTTCTCTGAGTTCCGAATAGTCACCTGAAACCAGTAAGTATTCCAAAAGCTATAATGACTCACCACATCCTTTAACTCTTGGAGATGCTGACGGAAATCATTTATCATAGGTGGTACCACTGGTGTTTTAAAACGTGAATTGAAAGCCAAAGCTGTAGCCTGGAGGGTCCAGCCCCCTTTTTCCTCCTCACTCCCTGAGAATTCATTGAATCCCCACAAATGTACATGGAAGGACCCAGGGTACGTATTGTAGACAGTACCAAGATAAACTGAGAAATGGTCTCTGGCTTGGGAAGCTTACATTTGTATAGCAGAGGCTGGTTTTGTACCCAAAGAGCAGAGAATAAAATAACAAGTGCTTTTGCAGGAGCTGGAAGAAGTGCTGTAGGAAGTCAAAGAAGGGGAGAACTTTAATAAGAATAATGTGAACATCATTCTTATTTCTTATTTCTTTTACTCAGTATCTTGCACAGCATAGTGAATATAATAAATAATAATGTACGTTTTTAAATTGCTAAGAGAGTAAATTTCAAATGTTCTCACCACAAGAAAAATAAGTAGTTGAGGCAATGGATATGTTAATTAGCTTTATTTGATTATTTTACATTGTCTTCATAAATCATGACATCACTTTGTACCTCATAAATATATACAACTATAATCTGTCAATTTACAATTTAAAAAGTAAAAATTTTAAAAAGAATAATATGAGCAAAGGCTTGGGAACAGGGAAGCAAGGGAAATCATGTAGAGTTGACAGAGGTATTTGTTTAGCTAGGGCCTTGGAGGTATACAGGAAGCCCGAAGAAATAAGCCTAGAAAAATAAGTGGAAAATTGCTTCAGGGAGAGGGAGGATAGGAATACATGGGAAGTTCCCCTTTTAACTTTGTATGCTTTCATATTGTTTTAATTTCCTACATTTCTCTATTGAATAGATGGGGCCATGCTATGGAAATCCTTGAATGCCAAGCCAGGGAATTTTTTTCATTTGGTTATAAGGGAACCACAAAGCAGAAGGGGCTATGGTGATAGCTGTGCCCTGGGGAGGTATTTTTGAAACAACCCTTTAGGGTACATTGGAGGTGAGGTTCCTAGAGACCATGGTTCAGGAAATACAATAGACTGGTGTAGGTGTAATGGAAGCAGAGAAGAGGAGAGCAGCATGAAGAGGTGTTGTGGGGGGAGCCCACAGCAGATCTTTATGGGATAAAGGAAGACTGTTTCTTTGCTCTCTTCCCACTTTCCAAGTGCTCCTGGCACTTATATTCTAATGATGCAGCTGTAGACACAGGCAGGAGAACAGGGGAGCTGGTGCTTCCATGAGATGCTGCTTCAAACCTTGAGTCAGTTCCTTGAGTTTGTTTTACTGTTGCTCAAGGGATACTCTCAAGACCAAAAGCTACTGCTTATAAAGGCTTAGTATATCCAATTTTCCACTAAGTTAAAAAGAAAAGCTCCAGGAGAA